CTCCAAGGGTAAGGAAACTCTAAACCCTCTCTTTTTATGTTTTAGTAAAGTTTGAAATGTAGAAATATTCCTCTTAAATTTCCTTATACTTTCTAGTTCCAAGCCATTAACAAATCTTAGAGGAGTTCAAAGGTTTTCAAGGGAGAGAGAGAGTTCTTCAAAGGTAAGTTCTCAAACTCTTTTCTATTTATTTCTAGCCAACCTTAAGCTTGGATTTATAGATGTAAATTTGTGGTTCTTGAGGAAGATGTGTTGTAATAAGGGTGTGTGAGTTTTATGTTAGTTTTGTGAGTTATGAGATTAGTTTAATGTGGTATGATTATGCTTGATTTAAGTTTGCTTATTTCCGGTTAGAGGAAAAATTTCCCGTCACTTTGAACGCGAAAATAAGAACCCTAGAGCGAGATTTTTCAATGTTTCAAAGCTTGAACTTATAGCCCTCGATGTTTTGAACATTTTCTATGACTATGACAAAACCCAATTTTAACTCTAAAAGCAAGTTTGAAGCCAGTTTGTAAAAACGGACGGACTGTCAAACACAGTTTCAGAAATAGAAAAAGGGGCGATTGCTACAGCAATCCTACAGCATTTTTAAAAGAAGATTTGTTGCAGCATCCTACAGCATTTTTAAAAGAAGATTTGTTGCAGCATCCTACAGCATTTTTAAAAGAAGATTTGTTGCAGCATCCTACAGTATTTTAAAAGAGATTGCTACAACAATCCTAAACCTTTTCTACAGCAATATTAGAAGATTGTTACAGCATCCTGTAACATTTTTAAAAGGATTGCTACAACCTTATTAAATGATTGCTACAACATTGCTATAGCAAAAGAAAAAAAAATAGCAGCCATTATTTTTAGCCAAACGAGGCCTTTAGAGGCTGAATTTTAACTTTATCCAAAAACGATAATTTTAGATCTCGACGAGTCGAAGAATTGTTGTGAAGAACGGATTTTCAAGAGCCAACTCTATGATGCAGTGAAATACAGATTTCAGAAACTGCACAGTTTTAACAAAACGAAACTAAAATAGTGACGTTTTTAACAAAAGGTTATCAAAGAATCCGAGATGTGGTTTCAGTAAAATAATATGGTTTTAGACCTCACTTTAATGAGGAACAGCCGTGAAGAAATATTTCAAGAAAAAGGGTTTCTACAATATAGTTTCACGGTGGTTTACAAGTCAACCGTAAAACGACTTGGGGAATAGTTTTCAAAAGTCGATATTCGAAAAGAGATTTTACAACGGAATTTTAGTGCTTGTAATTAAATGAGTGAGTTATCGTTTTATAAAAAATGAATGATAGTTCTTTTAAAAGCTTAATAGTTTTCGAGCAAAATATCTCGACGGGCACTTACAAGCCCAACACGATAGGTCCTTAGAATTTTGAGGATTTGATGTGAGTCCAACGCCCGCATTAATTTAAGAGACTCCGTTAGAGTTTAAATTTCAACGGCCTAAGAGCTAGAATGCCGTGAATAAGTTTCTAGGCCGAATTGGGCCTTAATAATATAATGAGTCCAATGAGGAAAAATTATGGAGAATAAGTTACTAGATTAGGTAAATGATTTTCAACCTAGACATAAGTATGTTAAGGGCAATTAAGGAAAATAAGATTTTGAGGATTTAATAAATTGATCCTTATAGTAAATTATCCTTCAGTAAAGGAAAGAAATACATGCCTTAAGTAAAGGGTTGGATTTCCTTCATAGGCTACTAAAATAAAATAGCAAATGATAGATAATCTCACACTCTCAATGGGTGTTGATTTTCAGAAGTAAGCAAGTAAGAGAATAGGCTGTTTGGCGAAAAGTGGATTCCAGCTCTGTAAATCAGGTAAGTAGGAATCTCGCCTACAGTATGAATAGATTTTAAAGAAAAAAAAGTTACACATGTTATATATGCATGTTTATGCTTTAAGTATTGTATGCGATGCTATGTCATGATGCATACACATAAGCAGCGCACATGAATTATATGTGTTCGAGTTAATTTAATGTTATGTATACTATGCTAGATCATACTACATACACTTAAGCAGTGCACATGAAGTATATGTGTTTGAGTACATTCCATGTTATAGTATGCTATGCTATGTCATATTGCATACACCTTAATAAGTCAAGAGGAACTTATAAGAATAATATCAGTTGAGCGCCGTACCAGCCTCCACAAGGGAGGTAACTCAAGCTCCACAAG